GTCGGTCGGTTTATATTAGATCGGATGTCTTTCTACACACCCCTATCAATAAGCACTTAACAAATAATCGTTTGGTGACGGCCCCTAAGATTGTAAAAGAAATTTTATAATGTGATCTAACTGATTGAAATTACATCAATTGAATTCTATTTGTTTTGTTCATATCGTTTCTAAGTTTTGGTATCATTTGATGCATTTTGTAATTGTTTAGCACTATCAGTTAAAGTATTTTTTTCCATTTGTGATTTAGTCAGATGGCATTTTTTAGTTCGATAGTCATAAGGGCTTATATGGTTGTAACACGCCATAACACATTACAATGGAGCCATATAAGTTAACGTGACGGCAAACCCAAGCTTTAACACCATAATCAATGATCAATAATCTAATCACGATATATTAATGTCTTGCCATTAATATCGAATGGTCCAAATCTCACAAAATATCTAAAACTTATTTGTCCACGATAAACAAAAATCGAAGCATAATTAGATATCATGAATTTATTTATGAGAATCTAATTTCGAGCACGTCGAAACAATTATAAGGTTCAATCTTCATATTATTTAGTTCCAACAATTCAATATAATTTTTATTTATTGAACATTTTATAAATTTATTGACCAAATGAAATAATGTTATTCATATATACATATTTCTTTTGAAGTATATAATATTTATATACGGTAAATAGAACAAATAAACTCATACACTCTCCTCATATTTGGTGATGTTTGAACCCTTGACCTCTTAAGAGGCCAAAGACTCACACACGGTTAGGTCAAAAGCTTTTTAATTGTTCTTCATATGTTAATAGTCAACTTACTGTTATTAATTCGTGAAATATAAATCCTTATTGTAAAAATACGATTATTCGACTTAATATCAAATTTTATAAAATTTAAAATATGTACATTCATTAATAATAGATCAATAATCATCTCATAATATTAGTTGTCCAATATTTTTATTAAAGAAATAATATATTTGCAAAAATATAATTAAGATTTTAATTCAATCTTTAAGTTAATAATATACATAATACAATCTATAAATTTTGAAAAGTTCAATTATAAATCGATTTTAAGTTGTAAATTAGGGAACAAAAAGAGGGTGATATGTGTCACCAGGTGTCCACAATCATCATGAATAATGAAGGTGAGCATTTGGGGATTATTCATGATGAATGATACACCATTTACGATGAATGGTACACCATTTATGGTCCACAATAAATGTATACACCATTATTAATAATACACATTTATGTATGCAACATATAAAGCACTCTCTTTTGCCCCTATTTCACAACCTAAAACTGATTTGCAATCGAACCCGTCTCTAATTAATATGTATTTAAACTGTAAACACGTAAATATTCATTAATATTATTAATCATAAATATTATATTACTCTGTTCATGATATATTCCTCATTAATATATATTAAAATGTTAATTATGAATAAATTCAAAACTATTAAATTATTGATTTGTAATTAAATTTTACCTTCTAATATATCATTTATAGAGGCACCTTCTTTTGTTAACGACCTAATTCATACAAACTTTGGTAACCGGGGTATTTTCCTCTTTTCGTATATTGATACTAGATTCCTTAATTATCTCATTTACTTTGTTTAAATTTTATTAATTATCTCATTTACTTTCTGGTCGGACTTTGGTAAAAAACTTGAAACAACAAATGTTCGTATACAAAACAACATCATAAAGTTTAAACAAAAATCATTGTTTCACCTGTGAACTTCGATAAAAAATCAAAACAATCAAAGTCCGTAGATGAATCAACACTATGAAAAACATGATTATCTGCTAAAAAAAACAAACACCGTAAACAAAGTTCGATTGAGTAATTCAAGAGGGAGAGAAGAGAGTGGTTGATGATTATCTTTCAAAAATAAAAACAATTTGTTCCAAAATTATTCTCCATTTAATTCAATTTAATTTCATTCATTCTTTTTATCATTTTGTAACTTCTCATATAACCATACCCGTGGATAAAAAGAAAGAACGTCCATCTCTGGATTTGTGAAGTTAATACTATATAATTGATTAATAAATAAATTGTGCCCACATATATATAGGCGAAAGGTTGTATGAGAAGAAAAGTTATTGTGAGAAACGTAAGAAGAGATTTGAACCCTTGATCACTTTTAATCTCATCATCACCCATGAATTCGCTTTAGAAATGAATTGATTCAATGCATCTCATTAGTGTTGACATTTAATTAGGATTGATCCAAGAGTGAAGATCCTTTTTATATTTCTCATCATAACTTTTCTTCTCACCGAAATCCAATCTTATATATATAATGATCGTTTTATAGTATTTATTTTTGAGATACGGTGTCACATTTTCCACTGTACAATTCATAAAATTTAAAACCTAATTGAAGGAGCACTTAGAGATATTGGAAAGGGAAGAAAGTGTATTGTCTCGTCTGGTTTGGGCCTCTTATTATTGGGCCTACACGTACTCTAAAATGAATGCTTGCTTCGCTATGTACACATGATCGGATTGTGAGACATTTCCATTTTCATTTCCCACAAAATAATGCAAATCTATATTTCAATTTATACCACCCAATCATCGAATATTTTTAACATGCAAATACTAACGAGGTTTTGTTTGGATAACCGTATATTTTCAGGTTAACTTGCAACTACAAAGGACTGAAGTCGTCATAGGTGAACCTTAATGACCAGAAGGGGTTTGATGATTCGAACCCATAGGAGAGGAGATTTCTACTACCCTTGAGCGTTGATCAATACGCCACAACCCAAGTGGTTATAAAAACAAGGTTTAAGGTCTGGGTGATATTGATTTTTATCAAACTTTTTAATAGTCGACGAATAAAAAGTTTTGTCTACATTAAATGCATTTTGTGATAGGTGGATCATGTCGTGCTTGCTCGGTCTCTAAGTTGGGCATTCCGAACAACTTTTGGATACACACAACTTGTCTTCTATTTTCAATTATAGATCTCAATCCATATATATATATATATATATATATATATATATATATATAATAAAGTGTTTTTGAAAGAAAAAGAAATGGAAGAGAAAAAGTAGAGAGGAGGACATATCACATAAAAATGTTGGAAAAAGGAGAAACATTATATCTTGAAAATAAAAAGAGATTGGGGCATTAAATGAAATAAGTGGAGCCTATTTAAATCAATTATTTTTATTCCTTCATCATCTTAAGGATGTATGGATCAACATCTCATCTCATGGTCAACATTATCACATTACATTTTATTTTTTGACTTTTTATATTATCATGTCACTAAATAGTTCATATATATATATATATATATATATATATATATAATCCATCATTTAACTCAACCTAGGTCTCTGGTAGAAACATGGATAAACCATTAACAGTTTTTCTTTATTCCTATTTCTCTGTAGAATTATTTTGATAAGTTGACATGCCAATAGATATTGGATTATAAGTTCAAACAACTATTTAAATGTTAGATTAATGTTGTTTGCTAGTGAACTACATTGTTTTACATTTTGCAATTGCATGATTTAACAAAAGAAATATTGAGTAGATAGATACTATACCCTTTCATACCTACAATTTTGTTGATCTAAATTTACATTAATATTCTATATAAATAGTTAATTTAACAATAGATGTACATTCTATTTATAGTAACCCTTTGAAAGGCTCATCTTTAAGTTGCTTGTGGAAACACCCAACGTAGACTCGTTTTTATATCTAGATCAAAGATTGACCAACTTTATCTATTAAGCAAGTATACAAGGGACGCCAACATCAACATGGGTTGCTGATATCACATCTGCATACTTTGAAAATATTTATTAGTATAAAAATAAAACAAAATATTTATATTAAAAGATTTTACGACCACTTACATCTTGATTTATATATATATATATATATATATATATATATATATATATATTTAAGAAAGAAATAGATTTGTACCATATTTGGGATTGGGCCTCATTACTTTGAAAATTTAAACGTACCTCATTTGGGCCATAAATTATAGGTATACAGAAAAATGATATCTTATTTTGGCTCATTGGAATGGATAGGAATCCAGATTTTTGGGCCATTGGTGATTGAATATAAAGAAAGCCCATGGCCCATGGTATAAAAGGCAGATTTTGTGGGCCAGACTCATTGAAATATATCCTAACAAAGAGAAACAGAAACTAATCATATAATTAAACATTTAAAATACTTGTTACAAAACCACAATCGATTTCATTAAAATATTTAATAAATAAGAGAAATGTGTAAGGAAACATACATCATATCATGGTTTGAAAGAATGAAAAAGTAAAAGAATAAGCAGAAAAGTGGTGGAATGAGTAAAAAGATTTGACAGGTAAAAAAAAAAAGGGTCAGGTAGATGTCGTTTTTGGCAAGCTTCAAAAGCAGTATTTTGAGTAGTGATTGAAAAAAGGGAAGCCTGCCTGCCTGCCTAACTTAACGATGCCATACAAGACGCACCTCACCTTTATTGCTCACATGCCCCCATCTCCATTCTTTATTTCTATTTATATTTATATTTAAATATATTTATGCTCTAAACCCCAAGCAAAGTAACTCCTTCCTCCGCGAATTAATCCCTTTTATTACGTGACCCTTACGCCTTTATTACTCCCCCCCATCAAATGAAACCCCCATTTTCCCTTTTTATTACTTTTTTACCTTATTATTATTATTATTATTATTATTATTATTATTATTATTATTATTATTATTATTATTATTATTATAACAACACCACAGCTGTCTTTATTATTATTATTATTTGTAAAATAAAAGAAAATTGACCAGCTTTTTCCTCCTCCTTCCTAACGTGGTTACCCCCCCAACCCCATGTGACCACACCACCACTTTCACTTCTACACTCCTTATAAATTACCTCTTCTCAATTCCATCAATAACCCCACAACTACTCTCCACGTCTCTCTCTCTCTCTATCTCTCCTAAATCGGTCTAATGTCTGTCCCGGCGACCACCGTCATACCACCATTGACCGATGAATTGGACATCGTCATCCCTACCATCAGGAACCTTGACTTTCTGGAGCAATGGAGATCCTTTTTCCAGCCTTACCATTTGATCATCGTTCAAGATGGAGATCCCACCAAGACCATCCGAGTGCCTCAAGGATTCGACTACGAGCTCTATAACCGTAATGACATCAATCGGATCCTAGGCCCCAAAGCAAGTTGCATTTCCTTCAAGGACTCCGCTTGTCGCTGCTTTGGCTTTCTCGTCTCCAAGAAGAAGTACATTTTTACCATCGACGACGACTGCTTTGTAAGTCTCTCCAAGATCCAATTTCATTTCTTAACAAAATATGCTTTGACTCCAGTGAATAATAATATATTAATAATAATAATAATAATAATAATAATAGTAATACTTCTATGCCTTCTAGTGCACTGCTTTATGCTATACTTTTATTATTATGAAGACACGTGTTCAACCGTCATCACAAAAATAATTAATGATTTAGGTTGCCAAGGATCCATCTGGACAAGAGATCAATGCTCTGGCTCAGCACATTCATAACCTGCTTTCACCGGCAACACCCTTCTTCTTCAACACACTCTATGACCCATTCAGGGATGGTGCAGATTTCGTCAGGGGTTACCCCTTCAGTTTAAGGGAGGGTGTCACCACCGCCATCTCCCATGGCCTTTGGCTCAACATTCCCGACTACGATGCCCCTACTCAGCTTGTCAAGCCCCTTGAGCGCAACTCCAGGTTTCCAGATTACTCTTTCATCCTCACACTAGTGTTCTTTAATTCAAACATCCCTCTTCCCCTCCCTAATCATGGTTATGGTTGGTTGATGCAGGTATGTGGATGCTGTTTTGACCATCCCTAAAGGAACTTTATTCCCTATGTGTGGGATGAACCTTGGGTTCCACAGGGAACTCATTGGACCTGCCATGTACTTTGGGCTCATGGGAGATGGTCAGCCCATCGGCCGATACGACGATATGTGGGCTGGTTGGTGTGCTAAGGTTTGTTGTCTATCTGATCTCACCTATATAACAGTAGTCTTAGGATCATGTGGTTATCATTGTATTGATATGAGTTATTGTGAATGTGTAGGTGATATGTGACCATTTGGGACTAGGGGTGAAGACTGGGCTACCATACATCTGGCATAGCAAAGCTAGCAACCCTTTTGTTAACTTGAAGAAAGAGTACAAGGGTATCTATTGGCAAGAGGAGATCATCCCTTTTTTCCAAGGTGTGGCTCTACCAAAAGAATGCACAACTCCACAGAAATGCTACATTGAGCTCTCCAAGCTTGTGAAAGAGAAGCTTGGACCTATTGATCCTTACTTTGAGAAGCTTGGGGATGCTATGGTTACATGGATCGATGCTTGGAATGAGCTCAATCCATCAGCCGATGCAGCTCCAGTCAAGAAAACAGATGCTGCACCGAAAAAGAAGTAAACATATGTGCGAGATAGTGTCGTTCTTGACTGTCGGTTTTACTTTCTTTAAAATTTGTTATATTTGGTTCTCATAAGTTGATCAATTTTAGTGTTTTATTATTGTTGAAATAATGTTTCGTTTAGAAACTGTTCGCTCGACGGCATTTATTAAATCTATTGAGGATATAAGAAGGTTCTAACTTATTTTTCTTTGTAATCTCTTTATATTTGGTTGCTATAAATCAATCTATTTCTAGTAATTTAATGATTGCATCTGCGAAATCTTACAAATGCATAGTAGAAACCGACCTCGCATATCCTACATGCCATGTGCGAGCTTTGACAAGACTCGAACCCTCCAACCACCATCATCTTTTAACTCTTCACCTGTACAGTTGGTTCTGTCCTGCACTATCAAGAACCAGAACACAAATATCTTATAAAATTCTAATCATGAATTCAAAAACAGAGGATTTTATAAACCAAATCCACGCATTCAACTTGCCAGATGAAGAACTATCAAGAGGGTCACAACTTAATGAATTTCAATTTCATTTTTCATCAAACAATGGCACCATGAAGAGAACAGATAAATGGAGCATTCAAAATGGAGTTTTCCTCTCTAAAAACAGATCCTTCAAATCTATTAATTCCGGTTACAACTTACAGTTACAATTCTAAGTTATCACCTTATCTGGGTTTGTCCCAAGTTTTAAGAGATGTCTTCTATGACGCCCTTCCCATCCACCGCATCAAAAAAGAAGAAATTCTTTAGGGGGTCGCCTTTGCCTGATATTGCTTTAATTACTTCCTGTAAATTCATATTAACGAGTAGAGAATGAGTACGATCCAAAAAGGGAAACAAGAAACCTAGTAAAGTAGGTCAAATAACCTGGCCGAGGATTCCCCCAAGTACTGCAGAGACAGGAGGGAATTCTTTTGTTGACACAACCAACCTCTCTAGAAGAGAGTCTGGAATCTGTGATTCATTAAGCGACTGCAATACAAAGGCATGGCATGTATAAGAAGCATGAACTTAAATTGATTTGGTTTAACAAAAAATAATCTAACTAGTATACATGTGCCAGGCAAAGTTCATTTCTCAGCTTCATGACACTAGGCAGGTCTGCAATGGAAGTCTCTCCAGGTCTGCGCCTTTCTACATCTTCAAACCTTTCTACCACTGGAAAAGGTGATCTTAAATGGGATCAGATAACTCTTGAAATTAAAAAGAATTAAAGCAAGAAGAGAATAGGAGAATCGTTATAGCTATTGTCAATTATTATACACACACATCATATATATATATATATATATATATATATATGAAACGGTTCAAACGAGAACACCTTCATTTTGCGAAAATCTAGAACACACTTCTACTATAGTCAATCACAGGTGATATTAAATCAAAAGCAGACAACCTTTGGCGCAACCTAGGTCACGGGCCAAATTGCCTACACACCACCAGGTCCCCACACGTGTATTACACATGTGATAAGGGTGTTCTCTCATTTTCGTAAAATAAGAAGACTAAATATCAAAAGAAGGTAAGAAGGGAAGGATAAGGAAAGGTTCATATGTGAGTTATTGAAAAAATCCATTTAAAGATTCATGTGAACCCATACGATTAATCTATAATATCACATCGGTTCAATATGCATCTTCAAATAGATCTTTTTTCGGATCTTTTCAATGCTTCACGTATGAAACTTCTCTTAACCTTCCCTTCTTAATATTTAGCTTTCTTATTTGAATTGGCCCCCATATATATGTGTGTGTGTGTGTAATGTTGGGCCATGGAACAAATATGTATCCCCAATTTTCTGTACATGCCCACCAAAGTATATTGAATAATCTCATTTGATTGACTCTGTTCAGTTTGTCATTCACAAATTTTCCAGTTCCTTCATTGTGCACATCATTGAATCATAAAACGTCAGAAGTATATCAACTTCAGTAAATTGCATCACAAAAAATATTACTTCCTTAACATCAATAATTGGAGCATTGAAATGTCATTGATCTAATGTTGGTATCTCCAACAATTTAAGGTGTTTGTCTCACACTTTCACCCCCACCCATTTTAAGCAAATTAAGAAGGATTACAGCAAAAGAAGAAATAAACAGTTTACAGTACCTCTCATAGCAAAGTAAAGCTTTGCTACTCGCCTAGGAAGGGACCTCCATGGTATTGCAATTGCTTCCTGCAAAATAAATACCGTATACGACTTTATTTTCTATATGCTTGACCACATGCAATTATCCTAAAACAGAAAACTCAAGAACAAAACGCAGAATCAATATCTTCTCCGAGAATCTGATAAATCACATCAAGTACCCAAATGCCTGTAACTAGATTATACAGATTTAAGCATGTTATGTAAAACACATAAAAATCCTACAGCTTGTCTGGTTTAGAAAAACTGTTATAACAGCAAACGTGCATACTTGTCTATGAGTGCATACTAAGTACTCAAGGAGACGAACAACCCAATAATATTTGCTTTAACTAGTTCATTGTTTCTTTTCTTTTGTCTGGATTGTTGACCACTACCAAATCTTGTTTAGTGAGTATGTGTCACATGTGAGAAGTTTAAAACAAAAGGATGACTTGAAAATTCAACATGATCCTAACAAAACCATGTTCTGAGTCATTTGATCAACTAATACCTCAAATGATGGATACTGCAACTGGCACTGAACCGTCTCATCAGCTTTTTTCTGCAAAAGAGAGAACATTAAACATAGAGGAAGCTTTGCATTTTAATTACGATTTCTGATTCTTGTAGTTTTTTTAATCACAAATCACAAAACTAATAAAATGTCAGTGCACATTTTCTGCCTCACCAAATCAGGGTCCAGGTAACGGGAATACGGGATTGGGGGTACGTTAGTTTTTCATCATCTTTTATATACGAAATACATTTAACATCTAATATTTTGAATAGAAGTTGGAAGAATTTATTGGATTAGCATATAAACCAATCAAAAGCTTCACTTAAATCAAAACATAGACAAAGCACATGAGCTCGTCCCTGGAACCTCTTTCACAGCAACTGGTAATACTGATACATATATAAAACCAATATTGGCCAGACAGATAGTCCACAAGCAAAAAAGTCGATATAAGATGTAATTTCTGATCTTCACTAGAAACCTATTCAAATTTACAGAAGAAATTTCAAATTTGTAATGTGTTAAAGAGTAAGGAATCCGGGCTCAGAAAAGCAGTTTTCACTTCTCAAGCATTCGACATTGCTTATCAAACGGTTTGGCCCAAGACACGATGCTCAAGTTTCACATATATTAGCTATTACTTATCAGCCATACAAAATGTCCCTATCCAAGAGAAATAGTGTTAACGTATTAGAAATCCAAAATCTACTTTAGGTAAAATAAGCTCCACAAGCTACAATATATTACTATAATTTTCATGAGTTTCTGGGGAGGGGAAATCACTATGCTCTCAATTTCACTACAACATCACCAAAATAAGATAAAAAATTAATAGAGGATCTTGTTTTGATGAAAATTTTAACCTCTGCTCATCAACAAAGAGACCAGTCAAAAGAAATAGGCCAGTGAAAGCAAAAGAGGATACCATAAACAAAGTGTGATTTTGTAATCTTCAACCTTTTAATGACGGAACATTTTAAAAGAAAGAACGGATCTAAAATCCAGACATTAATTGAAATTGCAAACCACTGTACTTGGCATAAAAAGAGAACATTCTGGCTAGTAGAAACACTTGAGTCAAACTCAAGTACTTTATTTCCAATTTTGTGCCCATTAGAGTTGGTTAGTTTGCATTTTTACATCTTTGTGGGTTGTTTAGAAATGAAGCATCGCTTCTGTAACTGGATAATCAACACTGAAAACCATCTTCATCATTGATCGGCTTAGTGTTTTGATCACCCCTACCTTATTGACTGTAACTTATGTACTTAATACTGCCTTCATTGATGCTCCTCCAATAGATATTGATGGTATTTAAGTAAAATGGTTAACAGCTTATCACCCAAACTGTCTCCAAGATCACCAACTATCACTGACGTCAACAATTCTACACCATTGTACTGGTATTGGTACAATTTCTAGTTTGACATCTACTCTATTCTCCACCTCTAGGATCCCGTTTCTCTATTTTATTGGTCATGCAAACCACATTTGCATTGGTAAATAACAACTGCACTGAACAACAACAATAAAAATAGTAATGATGATGATAATAATAATAATATGCATCTGCCGACACTACATAGGACTTCAAGCCTAAGTGTTCAAAAGTCCACCAGCCAAATCCTTTTGGTGATATGTTCTGGTTTCAATGATATGAGGCTCAAAAGAAGAAAAGTAAATATGTCAAGGCATGGTTGTGGTTGTTGAAAAGAGTCTCTACAGCATAAGGGGAATGATAAAACAAGATTATCACCTTGGCATAAGAATAATTATGCAAATCAACAAATATTTCACCACAAGAATCTCTACAATCCACAGTATAAAACGCAACTCGCTTTGACAACTTGCGGCATTTCTCATTCACCGATTTCTGCAGCATGAGGAAGAACAAAAAATTTAGTTCCTATGCATGAAGTGTTTATCCCCAATACGAATGTTCCCATAGGCCCATATAAAGTATCAGGTTACAATTTACAGTAAAATTGCATATTGTGTAGGCTAAATTGAAAGGGAGCAATACTTTGGCTGCAAGTGAGCAGCAACTGATAACCACGACGTCGAACTTTTCAAAGAAATCTACACCAAAGTTAGACAAATCGCCTGGAGAACAAACAACTATGAGATTAGACTTTAAACCTATACTCAAATGTGAGGTGCAGATTTCATATAAAATTGAGATTAAAGGCTTAAAGTTGATAAATTCTTTTTTTTAAGTATATAATATTTATACTGCAAATAGAACAAATAAACTCACACACCCCCTCACCTTTGGTGAGGTTTGAACCCTTGACCTCCTAGGAGGCCAAGGACTCACATACCGCTAGGCCAAAGACCTTTTTGATAAATTCTTACGATCACTGTTCCGATAACAGAAGTGCTACAGTACTTGAACTACAAGAAGCCATGCTTCTCTTTAAAGGGCATACCTTTTTCTACAGAAACATGAACCATAGGATTGAAATCTTTCAAAGAATCACAGCAAAGCTCTGCAAGCGAACCTCCACCACCCATGTTTTCGTCAAAGGGAATCAAAAAGTTAGCAGCTAATGCTTCTCCTGTGACTGGGTTATCATCGTTCAAGGCCAAACTTCCTACCCCTGCCAGAACAATGTTCTTGCAGAACTGCATCCATAAATTCAGACCAACTCAAAACCTTATGTCATATACTTTAATAATCCCCAAGATATAATGAAAATCATCACTTATTAGCTCAAATTCACCCATTCAAACGTAGTTAACTTTTGTATATAATCAAGATGCACTAGGAGTTGAGTGTATACGAGACAGAACACCATTACATAAAGCTTTTCCTGTGATATGAGTAAATCATGATATCTCCTTCTAACTACTTCCAATGATGAACTTTAGTCCTTTGGTTCAGAAGAGGTCCACTTACTTGTCCCAGGTCCAATAATAAACTACAGTCAGACCTCACAATGAAAATATGCAAAAGTGTTTGATAACTATGTTAAGAGTACTAGACTTCATATCAAATATTACAAACGGAAAAGAATAGGTGTTAAATAAATACAAAATTTTCTACTAATCCCAATGTAAAGAAGCAATCAGCTATCTTTCGAAAGTCAATGTCTTCAGATACTTGTAAACAAAAATGCTTTCCCAAGCTAGAGTGTACATCCGTACTATGCAAACATTAGTGTAAAAAGATGGTGAGGAATTGAAGGAAGATGAACCTCTACAGCGGTGCCTTTGAGTCCACTGACAAATATATGAGATTTGCTGAGCCTAAAACGAAGCAACACGTTGCAGTTCAAAAATTTAACGATCGTATAAAGCTAGGGTATATGCAAATCAAAGGTGAAAAACATTTAAGTGCGTACCTTCTTTGGGCATCAACTCCCCAAACCCTAATTTGGCGATCATACAAAGCCGTTTCCTGCTCAGTCAACTCTTCGCCGTTCATCTTCAAAATCAACAAAAAATAAACACTGCAAATGTAATAATGAAGAGCGAGAGAGAGGTGATGCTCTGAAGCAAAGCAAGCTTCGAGCTTGGTGGAAACTAGAAGAAAGTATCTATGGCGGAAAATTTGCGACTGAAGTCTGAACTCGGAAACGAGGACTTTCAAATCTTGGGAACTTTTTGGGCTTCAATCTGCAAAGCTCTTAAAACCCAATAGATATATACAAGTCCAACATATCATTTACATTTCTTGTAAATATTTACAACTTTAATCCATAAATAAAAAAAATATTTATTGTTATTTATATTATGTAATAGAATATTTGATAAAAATTGTTAAAAATTATTTTTTGTGTATGATTATTGTTTATTGATGCATACTATTTAAAATTCAATATTATAAATAAATTGTATGTAAGTATAACTTATTAAAACT